AACTTCTTTGAGGATGTCATACTGGAGATGAGTCTTGAAGGACGAGTTAGGCAGACAAGAGAATGTCAGAACTTCAGGCACATGCAAGGAACAATAAATAACATACAATTTTTATTTTGTGTTGCTTTGTTCAGATTTTGTTGGAGAATATAAATGCTTCGTCCTTTTGTAGTATGGAAAAAAGTAGGAAAGAATGCATGCTGGCACAGAAGGTAGAGGTGTGCCTTGAAGGAATGTGTATTTCACACCATACATAATTGGAGTCCTTCAATAATTTGAGCATGTTAACAATATTTGTATTGTAGGAACTGTGTTGGAAAAAAATAACCTGAAGTCACTGTGGAGAACGAATGATAGGAAGTAGCAATGGCGGGGAGAAGAGATGTGAGAATAGTTTGGCTTCTGGTCATCTTCCCATTATCACCGTCATAAAACTCACCACGGGAGAGGGCTTCCTCCACTATTATCCGAAGTAAGTCCCTGGCACAGTGACAAGCTCATGATAGGTTCTCCATAATGATTTTCAGAATAAATAAATAGATAAAAAGAAACACAATAAGGGATGCAAAAGGTAATGAAGACTTGAAAAGTGGAGGTAAGAATGGAATGGAATAAGAAGACATTTAAAAAATATCTTCAATACAAATTAATAGGGTTTGGTGATAAATTAAATTTGAAGAATGTAAGTTGTGGTCATTAAAAATTTTTTTTAAACTAAAAGTTAAAATGCAAAAAAAAAAAAGATTGGGAAATTGACAAGACCCTGAATTGATTAGTTGGGAAACTGGTTTGATGATATTGCTAGTAACTGTCAGAAGTAGCAGATTCAGAGATTGTGGTTGGATGTAGTGTGCACGTTGTATAGAGTAAACAGGGAGAGTGTTTTTGGATAAATTATGTAACAATATTCATGCTTTCCAGATGAAAACTAAAAATTCTAAAAGTCAGTAATGTTAAACACAAAGTGATTTCAGTACTACCAGAGACATGGTGTATGTCATAATACGTCACCGCTCCCATAAGTTGAGATAATACCCTAGCATATTTCAAATAGAGAAAATGAAATTCAAAGGATGAATTGCCCACTGTCCATATACTTACACATCCCTTTTTTCCTAAACAGAACACATTTAGTTTGTATTTCTGGTCTTTTTACTTATTTTATTTTTTTATTAAGATCGCCCTGACGTAACATCTGGTGCCAATCTTCCTCTTCTTTTTTTTCTCCCCAAAGCCCCAGCACATAGTTGTACATCCTAGTTGTAGGTCATTCTAGTTCTTCTATGTGAGATGCTGCCTCAGCATGGCTTGATGAGCAGTGTGTGGGTCCATGCCCAGGATCCAAATCCGCAAACCCTGGGCCACTGAAGCGGAGCGTGCAAAATTAACCACTCCGCCACAGGGTGGCCCCTGGTCTTTTTTATTTAATGTATGAAGTCTCAGAATTATCCCCAAGCACATGGTGATAAATGACTTAGAACTTCAAATTGAAGAAAGGTTCTTCTACTCTCAAAGCTAATAATCATCCAGCATCCCATTAACTAGAATTAATTTTTGTCTGACTAAGGGAGCAGAGATATAGTGAATAACAAGGCCATTTGCCTAGGACATATGTATTTATTATTATATATAAAAGTATAATAGTTATTAGACTATATTTATACATATTAGAATTATTTTATAATATATGTGCTAAAAGATAACTACGTAAGTTGAAGCCTACTTTTATATTTCAGATATATATTATATTCCACAGGGTTTCCTTAAAAAAAACTACATAACTAAGAAATATATTTGCTTTCCCATAGAAAAGAAATATAGAACCTCTTTGAAATAATTTCTGTTAAGGAAATATTTTACTATACATAGGCATTATAAAAACTGGAAGTATTTCCTCAAAGGAAAATCATATCCAGTTGTAACACAAATATAATATATAAACATTACACGCAACAATTATTTTTAAGTATATTTATTGAAAAACAATTTTTTATCATTATATCTTTGTGTTTTTATTGCTTATGATCTCACAGACTTCAATTAATATTTGATAATGATAGTGATCATAACAACAATATAAACCAAATAGTCCATATTACTTTGGTCACACAGTTATTTTTTGTTGGTATCTTGCTATTACGAAGGAAAAGCAGTAATTGCTATTCATTAAGCACTTAATATGGGATATACTCTATGCTAAATGTCAATCCTTTGTTATCTCCATTAATAGTTTCAACCATTGTATTCTTGAGGTAACTGTGGTAAGTATTCAGGTAAAGGGGGAGCACAGCTAGTAATTGGTACAGCTGGTTTTAAATTGAAGTCTTTTTTAAGTTTGTGCTCTTAATCACTGTGCTGAAATCAGCAAATTCAGAGGATACTTAACCAATCTATCTATCTGTTAAAAAAAAGTCATACTTTCCCTTCCAATTTAAGATGGAAGGCTGGAAACGTGTTTGCCTTTTATCCACCCCTCCAACTACTCTTGGAAGATTTTGAAGCACAAAATAAATAATTTCATTCCAGAGAAAAGAATGAGAAGTGCCCCAGAGAATACAAGAGATTTCAACAAACTTTTCAAAGACAAAGGTATATGTGAGTAGACTGACAGATTAAACAGAGAGGAGAAATATGCCATAAAAATACTGGTGAGTAGGTGTGAAAACACTCACTTGAGAGTAACCTGGGGAGGATTTGGTCTCAAACTCAACTGATGCAATGAAGAATCAAAGTGAGAAATAAAACTGAAAACAAGAAGGTTCATTAAAAATATTACAGAAAATAAATTTACCAGTCAGCAACCTAATTTCTCTTCCAGAACCTCTGCACAGACAGCCAGACTTTTCCCCAGGTATGACACTTGATAACATACTCTAAAAAACTGAAATAACCTGTTTAGAGAAAGTCAAGGTATGACTCTAAAGTAAGCACCCTCCAAAAATTCTTCTTCTTACATTCTTGTGGCCCACAGTTTACCAGACGGCTCTCTATCTGCGTTCCTCAAGGTCTGTCCGTCAAATGCCCCAGCTAGTCCCATACCTTGCCCCCAGCTGAAGTTCTCAATCACCTGAGGAAACAGACCTACTCAACGAGAGTCAGAGGAAACCCACCACACCCTCTCCATAATACTGTCGGAAATATGAACATATAACTAAGAATCATTGTATATAATACCAGAAACACAAAAGATAAAATTTAAAATAAACATAGTAAATCTGACCAAATTCAAATCTGACACATAAAATGGCAAATATGATAAGATATAATGAGATATCACACACATGATCATATTACGTTACGTGGCAAAAGGGATTTTACAGATGTAAGTAAGGTTGTCAGTCCGTTGAGTTTAAGTTAATCAAAAGGGGTCTGGGTCAGCTCAATCTAACCATTTGAGTCTTTTAAAAGCATAGAATTTTCTCTAGCTGACAGCAGAAGAAAAAGTCAGTGATTTGAAGCATAAAGGGAATTCGACATGTCATCACTGCCTTTTAAGATGGAGTGGGTCCATGTGCCAAGGAACGCAGGCAGCTTTTAGGAGCTGAGAGTGGTCCCTGGATGAGTGTCAGCAAGGTAGCAGGGACCTCAGTTCTACAGTCACAACACACTGAAGTCTGCCATCAACCAGAATGAGCAAGGAAACAGATTCTCCCGACTCCAGCCTAAAAGGAACATAGCCCTTCTACCGCCTTGATTTCAGCCTTAGGAGACCCTAAGCAAAGAACCCAGCTGAACCCAGCTGAACTTCTGACACAAACTGTGGAATGGTAAATAGGCATTAGTTTGCAGCAATTTGTTACACAGCGATAGAAGACTAATAAGGAGAAAATGGTGATGATGATGATCGCTGATGATGGTGACGAAAGAGAATTCCATAGCTTTGAACAGCCCATAGTTTTTAGATTGAAATGGCCATTCTGGTGTCCAACAGAAAAGACCCACAACTGGATAAAACAGTGTAAAACTTCAGAACGCCGATGATAAGGAGAAGATACTAACATCTTCCAGAGGGAGGGAGAAGTAAAAGCTACATCACAGAAAAACTAAAACTGAACTGGTATCAGAGGCAGTCGACCGCAGGGAGTTAAGTCTCTGTTTTTTAATCTAGACATTCTAATTTGAATCTTGACAGGGACACTTACTAGCTTTGTGATCTTGAGAATGTTACCTAACTTGTCAGTGCCCAAGTTTGTACCTGGCGAATGGGTATCATAATATTATCTCATAGGGCTGTTGTAAGGATTCAATGAATATATCCATATGGATATGATATAGACCTATAGATAGACATAAACACAGATAGAGCTATAGTGCTAAGAACAGTTTCTGCACAAATTAAACACTTTTTTCCATCTTTCCTGGGTCATTTACACTGACTTACAAACATGTAAGTTCTCTAGTGCTAACAAAACAAATGAAAACAAAAACCTGTCTTGATCATACATCCCTCTCCAACTGTGGACCTATTTTCCAGTCCCCTTTAGAGCAATACCCCACAGAATCGACAACATTCATTGTCTCTGATTCCCTTATGCCCATTCTCTGTCAACCGATCTAATTTTTGCCCGAACCTCTACATTTATACTATCAGAATAATGTCTGAAAAATAACAGGTAAAATAAAAATGACTTTATATTAAACAATCAATAGATATTTTATAAGTTAGTAAAGCATAAAATAGAGGTATGACCATATTATCCAGTTAAGAAGATCATAAACAGAACAATAGTTTTAAAAGATTTCCCCTGGGCCGGGGGTCAGGGGTTAGGAGAGAAGAGTCTAGTGATTTTTACTTTTCATCACGAGCACTTCTGATCTACCTGATTGGTTACTATTGTGGGGGACTGGAATTGGCCACCCCAAGATATGTCTCTTTGGCATGAGGATTATTTTGGGCTGGTTACTTTTAAAAACTGGTAGAGGAAAGAAACTCTGAAAAGCAGAATTTACTTACCCTTTATATTTGTAAAGGAAATCTCCATCTGTAAAGGTGTCTCCCTCTCCGTACCAGGAAGAAGGGCGGATGACCATATCTCTAGAAACTCTCGTCAATGCTGAAAGGCAAGGACTCGAGTCTGCATAATAACCTGACTCTTGTTTACTGTACTTGTCTGGCAATCTCCCATAACTGACTCCCCCCACCCCCAACATCCTCCTTTGTCTTTAGCTGAGGATGGTATTTAAAATGAGAACTTTCGCTATTTTGGTGAGTTGCTCAGTTTGCCTGAGCTTCTCTCATGTATACATGTTATAAAGCTTTGTTTAATTTTCTCTTGTTATTCTGTCTCATGTGAATTTAATTCATTTTCTGGCCAGAAAGACCCAGAGTGGGTAGAGGAAATGTCTTCCTCCCCTACACTATGTATACATATGATTTGAGAAAATCATTTAAATTTATACCAGCATATAATTCACTCATTTTCTGCTATTTGTTAGCTACAGAAGCTTCAAATTTCCACATGGCAACCTATGATCTATCTTTTAAAAAACAATCACTGATCTTTTTCATTTCTAAAAGTATAGATTTCTATTACAGTTAGATACTTTTATTCAGGAAAATACTATTTCCAAATATTTGGAGACCTGATTTTTGCCAGAGAGGCCCTGCAACAAATAACAACCTCAACATCCTAAACTTAGACAATTCTCAGTGACATCTTATAATCAGTACATTTAAAAAATCATTATCCTAATAATACCAAAACACATGATAACTTTGTAATAACAAGAACAAACAACATTAGCCAACGCATGTCACGCGGCAGGACCTGGACCAGAAAATGGCCTGAAGGAGATACTGCACAGCCTCTCTGCTGTGGCTGGAGGAGAGCAGGCGAGGCCCCCACTGCCCATCTGGGTCAGCTGAAGAGCAAGAAAGGATAGCTTAACTCACACATGTGACCTAGGGACAGAGACGGTCCCTCTAGCCTGAATCAAATGCACCTTGTGTGCTCACACACATACACACACACCCCTCTTACAAATTTTCAATCTTGGAAGATCTCATGTCTTTTCAAGATGAGTCATAATCAAAAAGGATCCTGCACAGGATCTATGTCAAAAACTACTAGTACATAGAAGGGAAGGAACAGGAACTAAAAAGCAAATGAAGAAAGTTCCGCTATGGAGCAGCTGAAAATTGAGACAAAGAATTTTCACAATCACTCAAAAAAATAAATTTGCGTCTTTATTTAAAAAGAGCTCTAAGCAGAAGGGGCCCAGCAAAGAATGATAAGATAACCAAAAAATAGGTGAAATGTGAGCTGGAAGAAAGAGTAGCCTGGCCGCTACAGTTAAAATGGAGCATGTATAAATTTTTTTCCTACCCTCCTCCTGGACGTCGAGGACTCTATGGAGCACAGCTCCCGTTCCATGGAACAGATTCCATAAAATGGCTTTCACTCCCTCATTTTCCTTGCTGTAAAATATATAAGAAATAAAATCAGAGTTCTCATTTTGAAATCACATCACAAAAGGGTTGAGCCAGCAATTTACACAAACCTGTATTTTTCCTGTCTGCAAAACTGCTTATGAGAACATTTCAGCATGTCTAGAGAGCCTTAGATGATATGATGATCATCACTGGGTTATCTTAACTTTGACTCCAATTTGGGAGGCAGGAATCCATGAGGAGTGAGATAAGTTTCCAACGCCCTTTCCAACCAGCTATGTTACTTTCGAGTTTTATGAAAAATAGTGTTGTGTGCACTATTAGAGCAAGTGGGACAACAGACAGAAGCTAAAGAGAGAACTCACAATGTCACATTCCTTTCACTTATTGGTTTCTCTTGCTTGTCTGCTGAAGTGCTCACTTTAAGAAGGGGGGCCCCCAAGTTGCCTCGACATCAAGAGAAAAAGCAGAAGACACTGCTTCTAGACATGTGGTCTAGAAAGAGGGACATAAGCATTCACGCATTACTATCACCCCACTGCCTCACAGCCTCCTTGCTCAGACGGGGCTGAACTGGATCCGTAATATCTTAAGATACAAGTTCCTGGTGTACAGTATTTCTGAATCCTAAGGGAAACTGAAAATGGACTGCAGCAATTCCCTTCTGCTTTTCCTGGGGAAAAGGTGCTAAAACCAGAACATGAATATTGAAAAGGAAAGAACCGTTAAATGTAGACACATCAACCTAAATATGTAAAGGAAAAGACTCCTAAGTAAAAGACCAGTTTTAATCCATTTCAAAGGCGGAAATTATCTTCTCTGCATGGCAGTGTTTCTATATCTTCCCCAAATTCTAAAAACCATTCATGTGGAAATGTGACTCCTCAACGGCTGATGTAATAGCAGTGGCCCTGACCCAGAAGTGCGCTACACTCATAATGCCCCGTCACCATCCCTCCCTAAGTGCTCTGGTCAGCAAAAACTGGGAAAAGAGAATTATACAATTAAGTGCAAAGTATAGAAAATTGTTTGGATATTTAGTAATAGCAAAAAAAGATGTAAATCAAGATAAATGAATCCCACTGGACATAATATAAGCACATACTGATCCCAATAGAAACACTAGGCTTTTTTTCTTTTATGTTCCTGCTTATTTATGTTGAACAGTAAAATAATAATCATGGCAAATTTTAATGAAGATGAGAAATAAAGAAAAATATTTTAAAAATGCAATACAGATAGTGATATCTTTAGGAAGTTTAAATTTTAAATGATAAGGATGGATATGATAGATATATGTCTAATATAATATATTGCAATATGCACATAGGAGGTAGATTATCTAGATTTTACTCCGGATTTATTCCATGAACATTCACAATAGACCAATTTTGAATGCCTGTATGATTTAGGTAGAAGAAAAATACAGATTAGAAATAACAATTGACATAAGATAATTTATATATTCATGTTTTCATTACATTTTTGTACTGTATATTTCTGATATTTACATAAACTAAAAAATAAACCCAAAAACTTAGTTTTATCTACAAAAGCATAGGCAATTGATAGTCCCATGGGGGAAGTGGAATATTACACAGATTACCCAATTCTCAAGCCCAACAACTATTTATTTAGTCGTAGTTTTGAAAAATAGGATAAGAATCCGTAATGCATGTTCCTTCTGGGAAAAAAGCATCTGATAGCTACAGATAAGAAATGTTAATTTCCTGCCCTGAGCATAAACTAATGCAAAGATATATGTCCTGTTTGATTTTTAAATGCCATTTAAACGTGTCTTTGCATCTGAAATTTCTGCTCAAAACTTGTAGAACGGTGTTGGATGATAAAGTAGTAAGGAATAGCTTATATTTTATGATCTAAGAAATAATCTCTCAAAAATGAAATTTTGAAACATTTAGTACACAGAAACTTTAAGCACAGTATTTTCTTGTGAAAAAATAAAAACAAAAAGTAGTTGGGAGGTAAAGTTTAAAAGGCTCTTCATTGAACCAACTGTTTTTATTTAATATTAGAGGAAATGTCTGCTTAATACCATATAACATAGCAGATTAATGATAGATGTCAAATAAACTATTTTTCCTTTCCAAGTTTGGGAATATTGGGTGTTCTAAATCTGGTAATACGGTGTTCCATATGTTTAAATATTAAACACATATAACAATGTAACCTCTGGGCCATAATATGAAGTGAACCTAATTTATATTTCTCTTTCTAGGATTTTTTTTTTTTAAGATTTTATTTTTTTCCTTTTTCTCGAAAGCCCCCCGGTACATAGTTGTGGGTCCTTCTAGTTGTGGCATGTGGGATGCCGCCTCAGCATGTTTGATGAGCAGTGCCATGTCAGCGCCCAGGATTTGAACTGGGGAAACCCTGGGCTGCCGAAGCAGAGTGCCGCGAACTTAACCACTCAGGCACAGGACGGGCCCCCTCTAGGATTTTTTTAAGTATATGTTCTTTTCCTTTGGAAAATTCACTTCAGAAAAAGCTATGAGTACCTGCATGAAATCATTGTTACCTTTTCCAGAGGAATACCCATTTTTTGGTCATCTCTGCTTGAGAAATAAAAATTAACTAACCTTGAGTAATCGGAGATATCACTGTGTAGTGGAAAGAGCACCGGCTTCCGAGTGAGACAATGGATGTTCCCGCCCCTTTCTTAGCCATGCAGACTTAAGCAAGGTGTTTTACTCTTCTGAACCATATTTTTCTTGTATGTACGAGAGATTATGATACTATTTTTTTAGGTTCACAGGAAAGATTAAGTGGGGTAAAAAGCACTTGGCACAGAGCCTAGCACACAGTGGGTGACAGCTGCCTAGCTATTTATAAATGTATATGTGTGCATAGACGTAATAAGCAATAAAAAGATTCTACCTTCCTTCCCCTCTCTCCTCCTCTCTCCCTCACTTCCTTTTTTCTGCAACAGGTGAAGCTATCTGATCCATAAAGACAAAGGTATGGTGTGAAAGTATCTCCTATTTCCCTTAAACTATATGAGAGCTGTGGTTTTCAAACCCATGGCCTACCAAACTCTCTTTTTATCATCTAGGAAGGTAGACATATTTCTGTTGCTAACATCTAGTGTCTCTCAATGCCTCGCTAAGTTCTATTGTGAAAAAAAAAGGACCAATTGAGCGCTGGCTAGAGGGGGTGCAGAAGGGGAAGCTAAGAGGATACCAGGATTCAGACCCCTGGAGTGCCATTCCTCAAAGGGTTTCCAGAGCATAATGTTTGGAAAATTTTGCAGTGGAAGATTCTGGAGGAATACTTCTTTAAGGGACACCACTAAAGAACAATGGTTCCAGAGAACTGATGCAGCTGGTCATTTCATGAATCATTTAAGTGCGAACACTTGGTAGTCACATAGAGATATTTCTGCCAACTTAATTCATGAAGAGGAATATTTTCTGGACTTTATGCAGAAGCCTCTTCTGCCCATTAACCATATGAGAGATATGCGACTTCCCCTTCTGTATCATTCAGCTACTCAGTGCAGACATCTCCCAGCAACACTCAGGACTTTTTAAAATCAACAGAGATCATAAGACTCCCAATTGAGTTCAGAGGAGAAACTCCTGAATCTATATTTTGGGATAGGATTGGGCACACTAGGACACTCTAGAGTGGACACCCATTTTTAATATCTACTTTATAATAGCTAACATCTATTTAGCTCCATGTGCCAGGCACTGAGCTAATTACTTTACATGAATTGATTTTCACAGTAACTCTATGGAGTAGGCACTATACTCTTCTCCATTTAACAGATAACAAAATAAAACCCTAAGAAGTTCAGTAAATTGAAAGAAACTCTCATGTGTCAGTGAGTGATGGAGTCAAAATTCTACTCCAGGTGCGTTTGACCCCAGTGCTCATTCTTTTAACCATTATAAACGGATTAAGAGAGACCATTACTCCAGAAAGCCAAGAGTGGAGAAGGAATTGAGGTGGGGAGATGGAGAGGTGGGGAAATGATGCGTCCCTATCCTGAACTCAAACCAGTTAGCTAGTTGCTAATTGGAAAGCTAGTTCTTTTATATTAAATGCATACGGTATAGATGAACGTACCCATCTTGTTGAAAGAGTACAACTGGACATACACACTTTTGACAGTAATTGGTGTGAGTGTACTTACTTCCTTTCTTTTTATTTAGTTGCCTGGCAAGCGGCTCCTGCCTCAGCTTCCATGTTCTCCAGACCACGGATACACAGATCTGTATCTCCGCGAGGTTTTCATGCAGTGCTTCTTAATAGATTTGAGATGAGAAGAAAACAATCCACCAGCCCAACACATGCACACACTTCTCTACCTTGGGGAAGGGGAAGAACACAGAGCACACCAACTGTGAGACGTCTTCTATCTCCTACCGCCCAGCCTCTCCGACTATAATCCCTTTATTGCTTTGGGTGGGTGAGGGAACAAGCTGCCAACACCAGTTTCAGGCCATCTCCTTTGTAAGTCATGTCTTGGTAATCTTTCTCTTTGTTGTGTGCGTGGGAGTAAAGAGGATCTGTCTTCTTGGAGATTTGGGCTCATCTAAGATCACAAGAGTTCTCTGTGAACATCAGTTGCTCCCTGACAAAAGAAAAGAAACTTTGAACTCTTTTATTCAACAATAAATCCATCTTCTTACCTCCACCCTCTTCACAAAGTTCACTTTTTCATTGCAAGTTATACAACAGTAGATCTGTGTTGGGAGTCATGGCGTCCATTGTAAAGCTATGCAAATGAATTCCAAGTGCGCTGTCAGATGATGAAAGGAAAAATGATGGCAATTTTATTCTACTTGTTCTAGAGTAAACACTCGTAAACTAATTATACGATACACCTCCACTGAATATCTATGAACAAAGGAAAAGTCTCTGATTACTGGTTTTGTCTTTATTTCTATTTGATAAATTGCATTTAATTATAGTGTAATTAGATAACACCTTTAGGATTAAAAAAAATAAGCCATGTAATAAGGTATAATTTCTGAGAACAGCATAAATTCTAATGACTGTAAATAAAGAGACCACATGATAACTCCATGAATTCATCAGAACAGTTTGGTTTATATATTTTTTTAAAAAGATTGCTTTACATAATATGGAACCTTATTCAAAGTGTCAATTCTAGAATTCTTTATGAAAAAGCAATTGAAGAAACCAGTCTTACATGCAAATGCATTTTATAATAGATAAAATCTACCCACTAAATGAAGCCTTGGAAATTTAAAAAATTACCCACCAAATCCTCCAATTGAAGCAACTACTAATTAAATCAAGTGCTTAACTAGTTAATCAAAATTAAACAGTAAATTTCAAAGCCTCTCTCAGTTGACATTTAGCCAGGAATTGCCTGTCTCTCTCTTTAGTCCCCTCACAATACCCCACTGCTTTCCTGCATTTCACATCCAAGTCAGTAGGGCGAGATATCTGGAAATCACTTCAGGGATATTTCAATAAATCTTTTTTGATCAAAATACAAGAAAATGACACTGACTGCTATTCATAACTCACTTTCATATTCTGCTATGCAAAATGCCAACAAAGTGCAGACTTGGCTGTTGGCAGCAGCAGTGGCAACTCCAAATCTTGCTACACTACCAGATTAGAGGCAAAGGGGCAGAGGAGAGAATGGCAACTTGGTACCTCTCGCCTAACTGCTCATCTATGCTTCTCCTACCCCTTATCTATTTAGAAGTGAAGAAAACATTTACTCCATGTCATGTAACATTTGAAGACCAAAGACAAAACTTCCAGAATTCATCAGAAATTGTATCTTCTTTAGTAAGTTTTGGCATGAAAGTTCTAACATTGTTCTCTTGGATCATTTTCTAGTTATAAATTCCCCCTTGCATGCTAGCTCTAAAAAGCTTCTATACTATATTTTCCCCTTTCAATTTATTATTCTATGGTGATCAGAAAGTCTCTACTGAAAATGACATTTAAAATCCATGCCAGTGCCATCTGGAATACTTGCCTCATTAACTGAAGATTTTGGATCATGGTCTCAATTTCCATTCCAACTCTTACATTTCTCTTAGTTGATTCCAAGTCAATGTTGATGACCCAAACTGCACACCAGTCTTGCATTACCACCTTGTTGTCTCCAAGATCACCATTTTATGTCATCTAACAACTCCCTTGGGCGTACTCTGGACATTGTCATCTACAAAACTTTCCCAGCTTTGGAATACTAAATTCAGACATCATCCTCCCTGAGCACATCTTCCTATGCTTCCATCTCGTGTCCTGAACCATTTCTGCTACATCTGTTCTCCTAACACATTGGGACCATCAATCCAGCAACCCCCTCTACTTTCTTTGTGTATGTAAGCTCCCCTTTGAATAACATAGTCCCTGGATACAGAAGATGATGCGATAGAGCAGTAGTTCCTATTCAACAAGATACAGATGTAGGTATGTCCAGCTATTGAGAGAAGCAGCCAAGGAGAGAGAGAGAATGACAAGAATGAGAACAAAAGGTTGTTTTAACTGTTGTTTTCCCCTAACCAATTGGTACTGAAATCCTCCATCAACAAGCCATCTGAGAAAGAAGAAATGAAGGCAAGACCCCTTGAGGTAAGGAGAAATATTCATGCAAAGAATTTTGAACTTTTAATTAATGGAATATTTGCTCCCAAAGAAACTATGTTAAAATACAAGATTGAGTTATCTTTAATTGGCAAATTTATTTTTCTACCCTCAGTGGAAATGGGAGGTCCAGCTCAAGATGAGTTCAGAACTAAAAAATTCAGACACACTTTGCACTTTGAAGTCATTGTGTATAATTCTCGTCTACCACTTAAAGTCTGTTGTCCATTAGTTTAGTCATTCTTTCACTAATATGCAGAGCACAATTTCCCTGTTGTCCTTTAGCTATGCCTCTCGAAACACCCCAATCCAGGATGTATCCACCCATCGATCTCCCCTGTGAAAGCTGTGGAGCTGGTGGGAAAAGTCACACATCTGAGATTAAAACCATTGTAAACTAAACTGGAACCTCAATCCTGCCCAGGAATCCTGCTAGGTTTCTCTTGTTGACTCTCTCTCACCTCCTGACATTTCTCTTTCTCCCAAGAGATTCTCTCATTGCCTACCTTTATCTACATATATCAGAGAGAAGATAGAAGCTTTCAGCCTAACCAACCCAACTTTGCACCACCATATCCATAAGCCTACCTGAAACTGCTCCCTTCTTTTCCACTTTCTCTCCCATTACAATGGATGAGGTATTGTTGGAGGAGGTCATCAAGAGGATGTGACAATTGGTTGACCGATGAGCTGGACCTGGGTAGTTGGAGGCTCCTTTCCCCCTCCCCTGTCCTTGGGATGTACTTTCTGCCCACCATTCCCACACCAGGAGCCATTTCAAGGATGCAGCCTCGAGAGAATAACGTGTTGTTGAGACCATCTGGACAACGTACATGACTGAACCCTGCTAAAGCCTCTATATAAACTCTTAAGATTCTGGTGGGCAGAAGCAGAGATCTACTTGTCTTGTGGCCTCCCAGGACAAGCCTCACATGTAAGCTTCCTTACTTATTAAAACTGCCACCCACCAATCTGGAGTGGTTTGCCTCTTTCTTCAGTCTCTGTTTGCCCTCTGCATATGGGGGCCAGTTTTGAATTTCATCTGAGGAACTCCTGAGGTTACAAACCAACTGGCATCCCCATTCCTTAAGAAAAGAAATATTTCTTTGATTTCAGAGAAGACTCCCAAATACTAACCTAGCTTCTCCTTCTCTTTGTAGGCAATCCTCTTTAGGGAGTTGTTTATTCTTAATAGTCTTCAGGGTTTTACTTTTCTTTCTCTCCTGTATCTGCTCTAACTTGAAGATCTGTCCCATCAACAACTGACAACCTCCTTGTGTGCTAGAGCTTCAGGAACCAGGTCTAAGGCAACTGAGAAAAGTATCAACCACTGTTTTGTTCTCATACGACTGCCATAACCATCCACAGAAAGCCCTCCAACTTGAAGAGCACAGCCAGAAGGCCAAGCGTACGTACATCTTGTACGACAGCTTCTTCTCTCCTCACTCCTCCACTCTCCATGCCTTCAACTCCTTCTCATTCCTCAGCTCCTGTAAATTTTCCTTCGTGCTGTTACGAGACTCTCCTTACTTTACTGTTGTCTTCAGTGTGCTGTGGTTCTTCTCATTCATATCCCTACTGTGATGGAAGAGTAAGTCTTTGCAGTTGACAGAGCTCCAACCTCAGACTTTGTGGGCCAAACCGTAATTTTGACTAGGCTTTTAACTATCCAAAAATGGGAACATTACCTTAAAAGCATGTTAGCATGTGAACTTTACCTAATCATAGATTAAAGACAATTTGTTTAAGTCACACATTTACAACCCTGACACACTCCACCACAGAGATCACCTCCCACTGAGGTCACCATCAACAAGCATGTTCTAAATCCAGAGGGAACTTTTATTACTATTACTTTACTTGACTTTACGGAAACATTTGACACAGTTCATTACTCATTCTAATATACTCATCATTTTACTAGGAAACAAACAAAACACCTCAATTCTGTGACCACACTCTTTCCTGACTTTCTCCTCTGTCTTAGGTCACTCTTTTCAGCTCCTTTTTCCACTTCCTTCTCAGTTTGACTGTTAATATTTGACTTGTATAAGGCTCTAAACTAGACCTCATTTTCTTTTCACTCTGTTGTCTCTGCCCAGATGATCTCATTCAGCCCATAAGCTTTAATTTTAATCTATGCACTGATCACTCCCAAATGTTTTATCTATAGCCCAAATAATTCTTCTGAGCTCAGATCCACATAGAGACATCTAAAGTTCATGATATCCAAAATCAAACTCATCATCCCTCATTTCTCCTCCAAAAAACCGACTTCTCCATTATTCTTTATTTCAGTTTATAGCACTAGCCTCTACTGAATTGTTAAGCCAGAAATCTGAGAGGTGCAGTTTTATAAATACATGTGTGTGTATGATAACATAAAATAGATTTCTTAAGGTGGGTTGCATTCAGAAAAATGTTTGAAAGCCAAATTTAACACATAAATTGCTCAGAAAAGTGTCTGATGCTTAGTAACTATTATAAAATGTTAGCAATTATTATAACTGTTGTTGTTAACCCATCATTCTACTTCACTGCCTCTTCACAGCCAATGCATCGCCAAATCTTCTTGTTTTGTTTCCTAAATATATCTTGATCTCATCTACTTTCTTCTAACCCTTCTGCTCTGGCCTATTCTAAACTACCGTCTCTCTCACCCAGCTCACTACAACAACCTCTTAACTGCTCTTCTTGCCCCCTTCAGATTCTTCCCCACCCTGCCTTCAGGTTGACCTGTTCATGAAACCAATCTGATCAAGTCAACACCACTCCCTCCTCCATTAGTTTCCTTCAAAAAATTCATTATTAATATAGTCTACACAGCTTTGAGTTATATGCATATAGATTCACTCATCACTCTCCCACTCTGCCAATGTATTCCAGCTACACTGTCCCTTCTCTCAGTTTCCTAATCTCACCAAATTCCTTTCCAATTCCAGGGATCCACACCTCTGTTTTCTCTGCCTGGAACACAATTTTGCACTGCCTCCCATCCCCTACTTTTTACCTAACTACCTTCTCCTTATTTTCTTAGTCTAAGTCTATAGTTTATAGTTTATACTCTCCAGGAAGCTTTACCTGCTATCTTTCAATCAGTAATTTCCAAATTATAAATCATGGCCCATAGTGTATTATAAAATCTATTCAGTGTGTCTATAACGAGTATTTTTCAGCAGGTAGTAATGCTATGGCATGAATCGGGATGGGTGGGATGGGATATATAATGCATTACATGCAGTTAAGGTAAAGTACTATTTTATAAATTTGTGTGTGTATGTGTGTGTGTTGGTGATGAAAGAAAGTATATTTTTTTTACTGTGAGTCACATTCAAAAATAAGTTTAAAAGGACAAGTTTGCAAACCACTCTTCTAAGTGATGGTCACCATTTATGTCTTTTCATAACACCAGTGCTCCTCTTTTAGTAAAATGAACACACTCAGGCTGTTATCTGTATATCTGCAGCAGAAGTATTTGTGTTACATAAGATTTAGGAAGTAAAGTAGGTTAAGACTTAACCTCCATTAAATAATGTGTCAAAACATAACCTCCATTAAATAATATATTATTTTCTAAAATTGGGCCTGAACCTCTGAGGGTTTCTTTTTTCAGCACCTATCACGAAGCCATCAAATGAGGAACATAAGGAGGGATCTTTGGCTACAGGTGCTGCTACCTCTGTTGATTTCAGGTTCAGCGAGCGCATAAACCTGGGCCAGCAGGCAGACATGGCTGAGTTCCAATGCCTTCTCTGTTGGCTGCCAGTTTAAGACTCTTTGAAAATTACGTAACTCCTTGAAGTTTTTTTTTCTTTTTCTCATCTATCTGTTGGAGATGACATTCTCTGCCTTACTGGGTTATAAACGTTAAATGGCATAACATGCACTTAGAATAGTGTCCTTCAGGTGTCGGGCATTTGATAAATGTTGGTCCCATTCCTCCTCTCTATTTCTTTTCTTTCTCCGATCACTAGAGGTTGTTCCTTTTCTAAGTATAGTAAGCATCCTCAGACTCCTGGCTTGGTCTCCTGACAATGGCTTTTCCAACATATAATATACAATCCTATTTCACACTTATTTTCTAATGTAGTTGTAATGTAATCAAATTTATTTCAACTACAACATAAGCCAAACCAATGGCGAGAGGACGTTTTTCTTAATTTTTTCATCTTATTCATATTTTCTTCTATTCTCCTATTTATAGCTGAACAAGCCACCTCTTTGGACAGTCTCTCTCAGTAATTCTAGGATTCACATTCAAATATTCCGAGTCAGTGGTGGAAACCTGGAATCTCTTCTGTATAAATGGGACTCTTTCCTATACAGAGGTATGCTGTCAGTTGCTAGCAGATTATGCCCATAGTTTGAGGGAAAACAAAGTGTGTCTCAAAAGGAAGATCTTAATGTGACTCCAGAAAATGTGCTTTATGAAATAACTGAAATGAATACCATGATTTGACTGACCCAACCAAAGTCACTGTTTCACTCCAGCTCAGTTCAGGACTAACAAGTCTATCATCATCATTTCTTAGAATGTCCATGAAATTCTATATAAATAATCTAGCAAAGAAATAAGACGAGAAGAAAAAGGTAATTAGATATTTAACAACTCAATGGAAGTTGTAAGACAAGAGGCATTTCCAATACTAATAAAAGCCTTATTAAAATAATGATAACTGCAGTTATCAATTTATGGGATGTGAGATTTTTACAGCTTGACTGTCTTCTGTACATCTGGTTCCATTGATTTCACATGTCCCTCAACATGCAAGACAGCTAGAGGAAATGAACAAAGGTGAGTTAACCACAACTAATTCCCAAAATATCCCCAGAAATTCAAGCATTGAGCATCTATACTAATTCTTTATAGAGTTTTTTTCTTGCCTTTTAAATAAAACTCTTCTCATCCAGACATACCTCTCTTTCTGGATGTCAAAAAGAAAAAGAAAATTGAGCATAATAGTTTTAAGAGAGAACTTTGAAAGCAACATTACCTTTAGAGCAATCTAGACATCAATTTGTAACAACTCTGATTTTCTAAATATGCTTATTTCATAACATGCTGAAACATTTCTGAAACCCGGTAACAATATTTATTCAAGTATACATATTCTTTATTTTAAAAGTGTTTAGAAAGGGTTAGGCATTTTGCTCTTGAACAAGGTCATGTATTTTAAAAGCTGCTGTATAGAGAATACATAATAAGCATAACCACAATTTCTCTGTATGTTAGACATATTCAGAAATGAATTGATGCTTCATAATTTAAAATATTTTTATTTTATTTTACTTATTTATTTATTTTTTAAGACCAGCACCTGAGCTAACAACTGTTGCCAATCTTTTTTTTTTCTTTTCTTTTTTTCTGCTTTATCTCCCCAAATCCCCCCTGGCACATAGTTGTATATCTTAGTCGCAGGTCCTTCTAGTTGTGGCACATGGGGTGCCGCCTCAACGTGGCCTGACAAGCCAGGCCACGGTGCTATGTCCGTGCCCAGGATCTGAACCAGCGAAACCCTGGGCCGCCACAGCGGAGCACACAAACTTAACCACTGGGCCATGGGGCCTGCCCCAAATATTTTTATTTTACTATTTGTTATATGTTATCATCAACCAATTGAACTGAACCATCTTTGACTACAACCAAAATTCTCACCTACTCTTTGTACATCAATTATTAAGAAGGAAAATAAAAAGAGGGAGAGAAAAACTATCATTGGAGTTTATAACTAGGAAGTGGTCATTATGCTGAAAGTTATATATTTCTTATCATATTTATGCTCTAGTATTATATATAACAGAAAACAAAAATTAATCAAGTAATATGTAATAGTTTTCAGTCATTTACAAAGAATTAGAGTTTCACCTTAGATTTCTAAAATGTAGTCTCTCTCTCAACATCACTTCCATCACCAGTGAAATATTTTGATGTGTGCTAGAATCATGTAACATATGTCATTTTTATTTCTTGTCCTCCGTAGCATTGAGATGTGTACATTTTGAATTAATTTTGTTTCAATTAATTTTGACTTGAAGCTTCTTTTCAACCATGACAAATTCAGAAAATTAATTAACTTGATGATAAGATATAAAAACAGGATTAGGTGAAAGGCCCTTATCTAAAATCATATAAGAAACAAAATGTCATCTGTCATTTTAATTCATTGTACCTTATCACTTAACTATCAAATGATATAATTCTGGCATTTAGAAGAAAGATGATATGCATAATAAATGTCAGGGCTTTTTAATCTACAAATACAACTTTATTTTCAAAAAGCATAACAACAAAAATGCGGGTGTCACGTAATTTGTTCTTTTTTTCACACGGTAAGCTTTGCCTAGAAACTTGCATCAGCCAAACCTGATATCTGTTGCCTAGCAACCATCTGACAATTGTATGACTTAGATGACCTGGATATATTTCTGACTGTTAACCCTTACACAACTGAGTTAATTAAACCCTTAGAAAGTCTCAGGGTTCCTAGGTAAAGCATATTGAAGTGAAATTTAATTTTAACCTTCAACAATTTAAGTTGATTTTCTTATTAAAGGAGTTAAAGAATTGGAATAAATATGGTAAAGAGTTTTAAAAATAGCAGAAAATTATTTAAAAAATAGAATAATGGCTTGAATTTTCTCATCTAGTAGGCTTAAGAATAAAAAGTACACTGAGTAACTCTTGTAATTGAAGCCTCAGTTTCTACCTTTATCGTCTAATTTATATATATGTATGTTTTTCCAAAATTTCATTGTCAGAAAAATTTTGAAAAATAAGATCATTGACATTAGTTCAGCTTTGTCAATGACAGACTTCAGCGCTTAAAACAAAAATTATAAAGCTAAACAAAGAGATGTTAATCTGCTTAGCATTCAGGCAAACCTGTTAATCTCCAATGTAAATACAAAGCAATAAAATGAAGAATTGCATCTGTTAAAAATAGTTATACTTCCAAAAAATACATTTACTGGATATATTATGTAAGCACTGGCAAATGAGGGATAAAGAGACAAAGAAGAGAAAGACAAAGTTTTTGCAAAACAGTGACATTTAAATAAGTACAATTTTCCCACTTCTTGAGGCTAAAAAATAATCAAACGCTTTGCAGAACTCTGACAACACTGTGTCTTTAAAATGCTAATTTCCACTTGTAGGAAACAAGCGTTTAAAGTTCTTCCAAAATTGAAGGAATTATAAATAGAATAATTTTTATCACATTAGTCAAACTACTATTAAATTTTATATGGATTGAAGTAGGCAAAAAAAAGAATGTGTGTGTGTCTGTATAGATAGAGTGATTAAGAACAAAACTAACTGGGTACCCATATATTTAAATTTTTTAAATTATTAACACATCATTAGGATATCTTCCTATTATAATTGAATAAATTTATTATAAAAATTAATTTATTGGGGCTGGCCCCGTGGCCGAGTGGTTAAGTTCGCGCGCTCCGCTGCAGGCGGCCCAGTGTTTCGTTGGTTTGAATCCTGGGCGCGGACATGGCACTGCTCATCAGACCACGCTGAGGCAGCGTCCCACATACCACAACTAGAAGGACCCACAACGAAGAATATACAACTATGTACCAGGGGGATTTGGGGAGAAAAAAAGGAAAGAAATAAAATCTTTAAAAAAAAAATTAATTTATTAAACCCTTAGTGAAAAAGCAGATTCATTTGTAAACAGGCTAAGTGTTTGCAATATTGAAAGATGGCCCCTACTAATTACAGAGAAAAACTTTGATTCTCCAGGGATAATTTATAATACAGTTGATTGTGAATGCTTATATGAATATATGAAGTATCAATTTAGAAACAATGAAAACAACTTGTATCATTCAGGTAATTTATAAAATCATAAATGTAACTCAATTGTTAGTTTTTTAACTCAATGAAATATTTAACTCAATGAAATAGTTTAAATTGTAGAACTTGGAAGGTAATGGGAGACAACTTAAGATAACCATATCTCCTAAGAGTTTTACATCAAATGGAAAAAGAAAGGACAGTAATTAAAAGAAAAATCAGAATCAAGTCAGAATGTCGTTATTTTTATTGTAGAGGGAAAAAAGAATATTGTCAAAGATAAAGAGGAAGAATAATGACAAAGAAGAAAAAGTCACCATTGATAGAATGAGAGAATGATTATTGTGGAAGTAAATCTGAGAAAATGAAGGAAGGGAAAGTTTCCAAAATACAGATGGAAGGACATCATCAGGCATTGGGGTTAAGGAGGGAAAGTTAATTTAGGGACTCCATCTATATATCGAGGTGAACACTGTGGAGGGAGGAGTAGAGAGATGCTAGGTGAGTTTCATCTTTGCATTTCCCTCTACCTGGACGTAGCCAGCTGGGTCTTTCCTGACCTTCTTAAAGATGAAGGGAAGACAAACAACTTTCCCATTACAAATTCTCCGGTGCAGTCTGACCAAAGTCTGTCCAGGGGAGACCTCGTCTGCAGCAGCCATGGCCGTGTTCCAGCTCTGCCCTGGGCATGAAGGCCCACTGTGGGAGTGCAAGGAGGCCAAAATAGCTGGGAAGGAGCCAAAGCAGTCGCAGCATCTTCACACAGGCTGGCGGAAATACCTTTAAATGGCCCCTGCCTTGCTCCCCTAATCATCATACCCTCAGTGCTTGTACAGACGCAAAGGACATATAACAGTAGGATGCTGATCCTGTAGGACAAGCAGGGCAAAGAAATTAACTTTAATGGACATAGATTTTATTCCAAGTGTTTTAAATTGAACAGTTATGACGGTTGAAGTTTGGTATCAGATAAACCCAGATGCCAGCAGAGGCTTTGCAACCTCATAGCTGTGTGAATTTGGGCAAGTTATGGAATCTGTATAAGACGAGATTTTCCTTGTCAACTAAGAAGAGCAATTCCTTATTAAAATGAAATGAAACGATGTATGTAAAGCACTTAGGCCAGTGCCTGGGACATAGTAAGTGCTTGAAAATAAAGCGAAAAAATTGCGTAACCGGGGGCTACAGGATGGAACAAATATTTTGCACTTACAAACACATTCACAGATAATCTGATAACAGGAAGATAAGAAATACAAGAGACTTTCATTTCACATCCACTCTGCACTCAGTTTGAGTATATTAACTCATTTATAGTCTCAAAGCTCTTTGTGAAGTAAATACAGTTATTACGGGCACTTACTAAATGAGAAGCCTGTGACTAACAATTTTTGCAACTTGTCAAAGTTGGCTCATCTAGCAATTTTTAGAACCTATTTTGTGCCAAGTAGTTCTCTAGATGCTTAGTATACAAAAGGCAATAACTAAGACAGGATGAAGTCTTCTAACCTGGCCTTGTTTTTTTCCAAAGCCTCTGTTCCTTCCACACGCTGCTCTCTAATTTGAAACAGCGAAATTGAACGCCCGTTTCCCAGGTGGTGAGCAGCAAAGGGAATTCTAACAAGGTAGCCACAGTTTTAATCAGCATAAAATATCCAAACCACAGATTGAGTGGGTTTAGTGTATAAATCCCGGAGGAAAGTTAATGAAACCAGAATGTTGAATATTGTTACATATATATTCAGCCATAATTGGCCAGCACTAAATGTTGGTTTTATATAAGCAATCAAGCTAAAATAATTATATTGTTTTAATGTTAGCAAGGATTCGAGTTAAAGGTTAATAGAATAGCTTGTGCATTCAATGAATATTTATTGAACACCTCCTAAGTACCAAAGTGTAATTCCTAACTCCTAAATTAGGAATTACAGAGGTGAGAATGAGCAAGACTTAGAGTCTTGTATGGGATGTAAGTAAGCAGGCGACGACTGTGTAGTGTGGTAGGTGCCATGATGGAGGAAAAAAGGTGTTATGGAAGCAGATGAGAGAGTAAGAATGCAATCTCACCAGGACTTGGGGACCATGGATTTTTTCTTGAGAAAAGGGTATCCAGAATGAGACTAGAAGGGTGTGATGGTTCATTTTGTTTGTCAACTTGACTGGGCCACAGAGTGCCCAGACATTTGGTTAAACGTTATTCTGCATATGTCTGTCAGGGTGTTTCTGGATGAGACTAACATTTGAATTGGTAGACTGAACAATGCAGATTGCTGTCCCCAGCGTGAGTGGGCCTCATCCAATCCACTGAAGGCCCGAATAGAACAAAAGGGCAGAGTACAGGAGAATTCACTCTCTCTGCCCATCTTTGAACTAAGACATTGGACTTCTCCTGTCTTTGGACTCAGACTCCAACTGGAACTTACACTATCAGCTCTCCTGGGTCTCCAGATTACCAACTGAAGATCTGTGAACTTCTTAGCCTCCATAATCATGTGAGTGAATTCCCTATAATAAATCATATGTGT